CCACAAGGGTTTTCAAAGTCGGTTAGCATTCGTTCTCCCTGGTTAATGCTTAGTGTTATAAGAACGATGACATCAGTAAAGTGAATATCATGCAATTACCGACCATCCATTTACACTCCCATGTTTCACCGATTAGAACGTTCTCATTACATCCTCGAGAGCGGAGGTTATATAGTTTTGGCGAGACGATATCGCACTGCCTAGCCCCGCTTTTGACGCTAATGTTAATATCGTTGTAGAATGGTGTTTTCTTAGTTGTGAAATTCTTTATACAGCTCACAAAAAATCCTTATATACTGAGTAGAAAGTTCCTGACTGTCCAGGGATTCTATGACTGCTTCTATCTGAATGGAGTTAAAGGCTTTCTCTAAGTCGATGAAAGTGGGGCAGAACCGTCTTTTGTACTCTCGCGACACTTCGATGAGCCTTGCTATCGTGTGGATGTGGGCCATCGTACTAAATCCTTTTCGAAACCCTGCTTACTCATATGGCTGTCTTTCGTCCAGTGTTTTGTCAACTCTGTTTAGAATGACTCGAGTGAACAGTTTGTAGACGACAGACAGTAAGCAGATTGGGCGATGGTTGCCGATATCGTGTAGGTCTCCCTTCTTGAACAATAACACGGTCTTGCTGGTCTTCCACTAAGTAGGGACCTCGCATTCAGACGAGTAACGTGTGAAGAGTCAAGCCAGTGTGTTTACGTGGACTGGTTGAAGGTTCTTCAGGTGTTGTGGTCTAATCGCGTCCGGGCCAAGTGTTATCCGATCCGACACCAACGAAAGAGCTTGTCGCATTTCGGAAGGGAAAGTTGGTGGGATGACTTGTCCATGTTCTCTCTATATGAGGGTATGAGAAAGTGATTGTTGAAGGGATAAGAGTAGTATAAGAAGGTAATTTTCTGTTTTGCCATTTTGGAGGTCGTAAATGCCCTTTTTGAGCGATGGAGTCGAAGTCCGCAGGCGTTGCCTTCTTAATGTGAAGTTTTCGCCTTGGTATCGAGTGAAGATTACCATTGAAAGAATACGTGTTGACTAGTTATGCCGAAGTTAAAGGAAAGTCGGCTTTGAAACAGTATATCAGTGACAATGATGCTGAGATATTTTTAATACTTAGACTGCAGGCTAGATCGAATCGCGATTATTCTTTTCGGGGTCTACATGTTACGCACTCCACCACTAAGCCCGTTGTTCTGCCTTTCTTTCAGGCAATCTTTTTGCCCCAACATGTCATCAGCACTCATCCGTCAACGGGACTGATCTGGTGAGCACAAATTGTCATTAAACCCAGCTAAGCTGCAGCTACGATTATCACGTCAGTGTGCCTATCCTCGCAGGCTGGTAGTATGACTTTGCCAATCATGAAGTAATGGGAACTTCGTTGGCCCAGGATGCAGTGTCGGGTCGCCGTGTATCGTAGTACACCAGATGCCTGTTTAATTTTAACTGTCACTCTGCTATTGTAGACATTAAGTCACCAAGCATCACCAGTTTACTTGACCAGTGAACTTTTCGCATAATTTTGCATGTTGTTATCAATAATAACCGTTATTATGAGGAGTCTTTCAACACCTTTCAAGCAATTTATCGCGTTTTCATGATTAGAAGGTGATCCAAGACGTGTCGAACTGCAACGCGCTGAGTAGAATAGTTCTTAAGGCACAGTCTCCAACTGTCTAAGTATAGCAGAAGTCGATATAGCTAATTTGCCAAAAATAAGAAAAGAAAACAATTGATTAGGTCTAGTGGCCCACCCAGTTAGTGGACTGCTAAGTGGATTCGAAGTGACTAGGAAGTGGTAATTGGTCGAAAGTATCGAGGGATAAAAGATAAGATTTACGGTGGTGATCAATGATCAAGTGTGGGATGCGCAATCCATTCCACTTCATCAAACACAGAGGTCATCGAATCTGGCATCTACAATGATAGGTGGCCTACCAGGTGTATAAAAACTGTGCTGCTTCCCTCCAAGAGATGTCCGTTACCAATTCACGGACCATGTACGGATGGAAAACTTGACGGGCCTAGGGCCTGAGATCAAACCAACATATATTTGCTGGTCACCTCTAATCATTGCGCTACACGCTCCTCATGAAGAGTATCACATCTGCTTAATTCTATCGTAAACTCTCATTTATTCTACTCTAATAGAACTCAAATCTCTGTCTCCTTTTCATTTTCTTTGCAAAACTAACGCAGAAATACCATGTGGTTTTCACAGACTTTTTTCGTAACTTTGTAACGATGGCGGCACGCAAGCTCCCATGTGGAGGATGCAAGGACTACCATACAGAAGTTATCCACTTCACGTACACGTGAACTTTCGTTCTTACAAAGACAAAAGGCGATTTCACAGTGAACAATTTTTCATTTGATTCATCTGTGGTATAAAGAACTTTTATTCTGCTAAAGTTTCGACGCCTTCACTTCCTTAAGAGTCGCGTTCATCAGTGTCGATGGTTTACAGTTCTTCGTTCGTACGACGTAGGAATTCGCTGTCGTATCTAGTTGAATCCAGTGGAGGGAGCAGTGCTCCAATGTGGACCTTCACTTTAAGGTGCTCTTTTATCACGAAGGATATTGGTCGATTCTCAGCATTCAATATAATCTGCGTTTTGGAGCGAATCCGTGCCCCATCAGTTGGTAGCTCATTCGTTGGCACATAGCGAGACAATCAATATCTTAAAACCCGACTTCCATTAAACCTCTACAAGAATGATCACGAATTTCCTACATGTGAATGTCTTTTTGTTTGCTACCCATTAATTTTTCATTTACTGCCTATTACTTGATCGATTTTCTACATGAATGAGCTAAAACACCAATGTTTCAGCGTCTTTAAGATATTTTCAAGTTACGTGCCGACAAATGAAATACCGAAAGCCACAGGACGCACTCCCACCAAAAGACAGATCATACTGGGTGAATATATTCACCAAATCCGTCTTATATAAAAGGCCACTTTTGAATAACATTCCCATTCGAGCACTGTTTCCTCCACTACCCACTTGGCTCAACGCAGCTCTGAGGAATGTGAAGCGCCGAAACATTAACTGAAAAAAGATTTTGTGCAAACCTGGCGTCGTTTCAATCATATAGGAGACTGTTGACCATTCTTGCCGAGGATTAATGAAGGTCGGTTTTTAAGACTTCGTGATGTTGCACCTAATCGATAAACAGTCTCCATTAACTTCTTCTGCGAAAAGTCGAAACCATCTCTCTTTTTTCAAGTGAAATTTCAAGATCTACAGTAATCCCTAGTTGATTTGCTATGTCCTTTCTCGCAGGTGAACTGATTTTACTTTCAAGTCCGACTTTCTATTAACCTCGGCATTGATTGAATATATCTTTCTACTTCTGTTCGGCAAACACGAGGTGATATTATATTTCATTATCTACGAACAAGCTGACGTTTCGGCGGATTTCGCCTTCCTCAGAGCCTGGAAGGGTCAAGTTGACAGCAGTCCACTCGGCCAAACACCTCCATAACCAAACAGAGAAAACGCTAAACCAAGATTTCAATCACATTTAGCATAGCTCTGCACACTCACCGCTATCTATGAGGTTTCCACTAAGTATGTCACGTAGAGACCAACCGCACAGAAATCACGTGGAAGTATAACGTGCCCCTCACATCAGAAAAGCAGTTTTATATACTGCCCTATATCACACGTGATAATGAGGCATTCTTCCCTGCGGTTCATTTTCGGATTTCTGGAATTATTCCAAAACGCCTCGAGAGTTTTTCGCGCCTGTGTTCTTGATTCGCGTGCGAGGATCGCGACACACACTTCGAAGTCGTCCCCGTTATGTTTCTGGGTCCTATGCGTGCCTAGCGGGGTATTTGGTCTATTTTTGCCGGCTAGGTGTTCTTTCATGCGGACACAGAGGGGTCTACCCGTTTCGCCAATGTATTCGTCACCACACGTCTTACAGGAGATCAGATAAACTATACCCGAGCTCATGCAATCACCGTCTCTACCACTGGGGCAAATTATGCAATTTTGAGTTGCACATAGGCGGTCATATAGGCGGTTACGAACTAGCTGGCGCTTAAGATTACTCGGTGGTATTTCAACTACGGTCACCGAATTCTCTAAGCCCGCCCTTCTTAAGCAGCGTTTTATAGCTGTACTTATATCATTTGAGATGAAGGGTAGGATAAACGAGACCCTTCTATCGCTAGAGTTGTCGTTTGGAGGCCTACGATTTCCTCTACACCTATTCTGAGCTACAGTTTCGTAGCCATTAGAAACGGCTATTTGCCGTGCCAAGTTCCCGGACTCCTCTCTCTGCTCTCTTCCCGTGCACACGTTGGTTGCTGTTCGAAACATGTTTCTTATAAGCGCCCTTTTCGTGTGAGAGGGGTGAGAGGAGAGGTAATGAACCAAGATGTTTTTACTACTTGGCTTTCGGTACCACTTTGTAATGTAGCCATTTTCTGATAGGTGAATTTGTACGTTCAAAAATGGAAGACACTTTTCTTTCGGCTTTTCTCGGGTGAACTTGATATACTCTGACTGTGCGTTTAACAATTCGAAGCATTTGTCCATTTCCTCTTGTGTTGAGCAAAGGGCAAAGCAGTCGTCTACATACCTATATACGTACCTAGTGGAGTATTTGGTTTACGTTCGCGGACTAGATGTTCTTTTATACGTACGCAGAGTGGTCTACCCGTTTCGCCAACGTATTCGTTCCCGCCCGCTTTACAAGAGATCAGATAGACTGTACCCGATCTCATGCAGTCACCGTCTCTACCATTGGAGCAAATTATGCAATTTTGCGTTGCACATAGACGGTCGTATAGGCGGTTGCGAACTAGCTGGCGCCTTAGATTATTCGGTGGTATTTCGATTATCGTTACCGAATTCTCTAGACTGGCCCTTCTTAAGCAGCGTTTTATAACTGCATTTACTTCATTTGAGATGAAGGGTAGGATAAACGAGACCTTTTTATCGCTAGAGTTGTTTAGGGGCCTCCGATTTCCCGTACACCTAACCCGAGCTACAGTTTCGTAGCCATTGGAAGTCTTCCTGTGCACGCGCTGGTAGCTGTTCGATACATCTTTCTCACAAGCGCCCTCTTCCTGTGAGAGGGCTGAGAGGAGAGGTAATGAACCAAAATATTTTTACTACCTGACTTTCGATACCACTTCGTAGTGTAGCCGTTTTCTGATAGGCTAATTTGCACGTTCAGAAATGGAAGCCAGTCTTCTTTTGGTTTCTCTCGGGTGAGTTTAATATACTCTGACTGTTCGTTCAACAACTCGAAACATCTGTCAATTTCTTCTTGTGTTGAACAAATGACCAAGCAGTCATCTATATATCTACAGTAGAGTAACGGACCGAGGTCGATTACTGGCGCTTCCACCTTAGACATGAATGCAATGGCAAGGCTTGGTGCCAGTCGTTGTCCCATTGCCAGCCCTCTCATTTGTACGTAATACCTCTCGGACCATCTGAAGATTGAGCAGTTTAGGCACTCCTTTAAGAGTGTCATCAACTGCTGAATCGAGACGCCGTACATGTTTATTGCTCCTTCGTGTTGTATAAGGAACTCGCGGATGACTTGCATAGCGGAGTTATTCGACACGTTCGTATAGAGGGCAGTGACATCGAAGGACTCTACCACGTACGCGCTGTTGGGTCGAGCGTTACGTAGGCGATCCAGGAACATTTGGGTGTTCGTTAGATGAGCTGGAATGTACTTTTACTTTTGGAATGATTTTACTTTGTATCAGTAAATTATGACCACTTTATTTATATGGTCTTATAAACTGATCTTCTTAAGCTGATGCGAGGTTGGTATAGGTCTTCGTTGTCGTTGCTGTTGGTGTTGCTCGTCAATGGCTTACGTTTTGGCGATTTCGCCTTCCCCAGAGCCGTACTGTTACGAGTGGAACTATCCCCTCGTGATACGAAGACCTACACCAACCTCGAATCAGCTTAAGAAGAGTAGTTTATAAGATGATGTAAATAAATATATCAACTATCTATGCCGAGACATAACTTCTATAATGCTGAGATATTTGCAAGACTCCGGACCGTAGGTGTCTGCGGTAGGGAACGAACACGCTATTGTCGTTTCCGGGGTGTAACGCGTTCACCACCGCACTATGCGGGTCCTTCGTTTCGCCTATCTCTCAGCTAGTTTTATCGATCACTTGACATCAGCAATCACCCGTCAACGCGATTGATCTGAGGAGCCCAAATCGGCATTGAACCCTGTTAAACTGAGGCTATAGTTACAATCACAATCTTAACCTTTAGCTAACGTTGTTTGTGGTTGTCAGTGCTTTTACGTAAATTGGATTACGATAATTACTGAGCCCTAAGTGAGAGAAGAACTCGTCTCCTCATCATCACGTAGACATCAGCCTTTTGCTACTAGTTCTTTTACATAGGTATTGATTCAACATCTATAATAAGTACGAGGTCGCCAGGTTGTCGGTTATCCTAATATGACGGTGGATGTGTTGTAGAAAAAACCACTGCTACGACCGAATATTCGTTTTTAAATCAATATTCGATTACATTATAATTGAATTGCATCTGAGCAGTCAAACATTTTTGTGCTATTCCTCAAACGACATTGCATATATCCTTAACATTCTCACTTATACTTTGATCGGCTTCGAAAAGCAGAAGAATACCCTGTAGGATTTCAGTTTATCCAACAACTAAGGAGCAAAGTCTATTAGGCGGAAGGGTGTTAAGGGTTTTCTGTGAATTACATGGTCCATTTAGTGGGTGTCTTAAAGTTCGAAAATTTATGTTCTTCCATCCACTTTGCATCCACTTGATGCAACAGGAAAGTAGAGGTAGCTGGGAAAAACACGTGAGCTTATTTTCCTTAACTTCAACTTTTAATTTATCACAGAAGTGGTCGACGTGGAGCACACATGACTATGAATTTGCCTTTTTTTTACCATATTAAACACCAATTTTGTTGAAAAAAGAGGGATAAAGTCAAGCTTGTAACGCCACAAAAGATGTAGTTCTTCTCTGATCCTTTGTATTTTCGGAATTAAAGGATGCTAAGCCATAGCACTCCATCGACGGGTTGTGAAAATGAAATGAGATGTCGCATGGCTTCTTTATGTTTCTTCGTTTTCGAATCGTGAAATTTGTCTCGTTTCTCGTGGGAAGTCTAAAATGGGACAATAAAATATTGTAAAAATTGCTTCAGATGCACAAAAGTCGCATTCAAAATGTGAAGCCTGGCTTAACATTTTGATAACGACGATCTCTCAAGAAAGTGTATTCTGTAAAGAATACATGAGGCAAACATGAGCCTAACGAGATGATTTCCGCACAAGACTAGAGCTCGTTCTATGTATTTACCCATCTTATGCCCACCTTCTATGTCTTGTCCTACACTTGCATTGTATTGAGCTGTAAGAAAGTTTCAGCAGAAATTTCTGCCGAACGCCGCTTTTTCAGCAGAACTTAAAACTGATTTAGCTCGACCTGGTGTACCGTCCAGATTACTGAGCTTTTGGAGATAGTAGCACTAGGACCACAATCCGAGATAGCAGGATCCATATGATCGGTAACCTATCCAAACAATACCAGCGGTTCATTACTCTATCTTCTTGCCACATTGAGTAATACGGTTTTTTCATCGCTTCTTTATATTTGTTGCGCTGTTCTTAACTTTCTCAATGCAACAGCATTTGATTTAACTTGTGGCCCATAGACTTTGGATTTTAGAAGGCATAGAATAGGTGACTGACGTGATATCCTCATTCGGCATCAACATTTGATAAACCAAAAAATAACAAACTGCGATTTCTTATCGTTTTAGAGGGATTCGTTTTTAGGGGCTAATTGTATACGTAGTTGACTGCTGCTTTCTTCGCCGGAATTTCTGAGCTGTGTTACGGCTTTTGAATCGTAGCACTTAACTCCACTATTTGAACTTCAGTGACTTTCAATTGTAGTTCAACAACAAGAGACTTCGTCACCATAATCTAACAGCATAGAAGAACATGCATTGAGAAATGACTAGAAGAAAGATAGAAAACTATTGTCTTGAAGAAAAAGTTTACAGTGACGTATTCTTTTACGAGTTTCAGTCTTGGACACCTCATATCTAAGACTTCGGTTTAGATGAATGTGTAAAGAATGCGGAAACTGTTTACCGAGATCACGGCATGGTTTTGTCTTTTCCTGGTCATACTTTCCACTCTTCTTCTCTTTATGCTTACTCCCAGTCAATCCTTACAATGGCTGTCAAATGGTCCCTTGATGTTATAGGAACGGTGAATTCATAACTTGAGCGAGTTTTTTCTACTGTCGCAGCAAATCTATGTAATACTGTTACCTGCGATGTTACGTTCGTTTGACAGCAATTGGTGAGTTCCAAATTTTTCGTTTAGAACCTCTTCACAAAAAAAAGTATGGAAATTTTGTGGGGCGTATGTGACGCAGTGGTTGGAGGCTCCACTGCAACACACACGTGGAATCGATCCCAGCGCCAATAGCCCACCAAGCCTTTCATCCTTCCAGGGTCGTCAAATAGGTACCAGACTTGTTCGGCAGAATAGCAGCATTGGCTCGATACATCAGTAGACCACCGCGAACCATTGTAAAGGTCAGATATGCATTCAATTACCTCCAACGGTACCTAATGAAGTCGAATGCGGCACATCCCTTAGAGATTGATCAACACCGAGAGCTTTATCCTCTACCCTTTTATGAAGATTGTGCTGGTGCTCCCTCGCTGTGCAAGTGATTTGCTGTACAACTCAGTCACCAAGGTGTTTATATTCACTGGGCTCTGTAAAGACTCAATATTTATCCCAACTTGTTAGTTTTTGACAACTTAACGTAAGCAGAGGGTCTTCGGCTTTTCAGTCGTCAACATAATTCGCTACTGAAGATTTTCACTCAACTGTGATCATACCCACTCGGACGAAACTAGGTCGTAGGGGTCGTATCGTAGGAACACAAGATGCCGCTCTATGTCGCCTGCACAAGCTTACAGAAGGAATATGATTCCATCGAGATGAAAATGATGAAGGTACTTCTAAACAGCTACTACTTTCTCACCTGGCGCATGAAAAGTTTTCAGAAATTTTGTGCTAATCTCACATCAAGAACCCAACCATACGTCGACGGTAGAGGATTAAAGAAGTGAGAAAAGGCTCGAACGAAGTAGTGCCCCTGGCGAAACCATTCACTTACACTATGAAGAACGTCATGTGATCCAAAAGATGGAAAGGAATATGACAATGGACAATGAAAGGACAATGAAATGATCCCAGTGATCGGCATCTACATCATCTACATCTTTTTTTTCAGTTATCTGGCTCAAATGTAAGACCAAGCATTAATTAGGTGGAAAAAGTACTGTCGGAATTCGAAAGCGCGTATAGAAAGGTAGGTCTTCACTTCAACCAAAAGGACGGTTCCACAGAAACTCCTTTTTAAAATCCCTATCATGCACAACGGAATGAGTATATCCACAACGCAGTTCTAGGTAATGTCTGCCTCGTGTAATCATCAGTATGATAAACAATGTTGTTCCACGGATGTAATGTCTAGAAAAATGCAAACAAGGCTTCCTCCAGTTGTGAAGTACGGCAATGGTCAAAGATCAGCTGTTGCTGTTGCGTAAGCCAAAATGTCAATCGGGTAATCGGGACATAATGACTTTTAGCGGCAATAACAGAAGAGAGAAGGCGTTAGTGACTGGCCTCCACAAAATGTCAAGCGCATAATAGGAAGCGCAACCGTCTTTGGAGAGGAATACAACCCCCAACTGGCGCCCTCCGAAGGCACTCAGTGCTGAAAGAAAATTAATGACAAGTGATATGGGTGGAAGGATGATTTCTATGAAAGTGTTACAGTTGGATTTCATTGTATTTATGTCTCCACCCACTGAAGAGGTGAGGCTATCATACTTAAACACTACGATTATTTTTGAGGCTAGTAAGAGAATGCGCTGATGGTTATGGTGAGGATTACTGCCTTCTCTGAACCTGCTTTCTTCAAGTTCAGCAATTCTTGGAGGTTCTAACGGAGTTCTTATAGTTGTTCGCTTTCGGCCTTTTTTTTTCTTTGCGTGTAGCCGTCAGCTTCTTAGGAAACTTCTGTCTGTTTTCTACTATGGTATTAAACTAGTAAAAAAAAATCGGTAAAAGAAAAAATCAAGAGCAATTATGATCGAAAGTTTTAAAGATGCCATCGATTAAACAAGAAAAAATATTACAATATAAACGAAAAGAAAAAACGAAGTGGTGTGACGCGGTAAAGAATTCATCCTTGCGGACTTTTGTTTCATCTTTTGCTTCCGTTTCAATCAACTTGTATAGATCTCGTCTTTTTGACAGCGACACTTCAGGCATAACGTTCCATTCTCCTATTGTTCTATTGTGTTCGAATGGAAGCATTCAGCCATCCACATCTCTTACCATCCTTTTCTCTTATCGCCGTTATGCTACGAGGCGAGCAGAACTACGTTCCGGACAACGTGCATCTTCTCCCTTGTTTGCACTTGTTTTTATGTTTAGACGTCTTTTACCACACACATAACAAATCGGTAATTTCTATATAATCATTTTTTGTGAGCTCAATATGTAATCACCCTGGACTGATTTCAACTAATAGAGAGAAAATTACTACCTCAGGAAGAATAAAGCTCACGAAATGATAAGCTATTTAGATCACCCCATTAAAAAAAGCAAATTTAGCTCTTTTTGGCTCGTTTTTCTTATCCCTGATAAGATTTTGCGCTCAGCTCGTCTAGTCAGAATTCACGGACCTGGATATTCTTATTGATCGAAATAAATTTTTACTTAACTAAAAAATTTCCTTTGCGCTTAGCAAAATCAATGAGAACCTGAAACACATTCTGCAACAATCTTCTAACAGAATGCAGTATTTGTTTTCCTCATTATCGTAGTTACATCTAAGAAAAAAAGCATGCACATTATTGAATATTCGAACAGTAAGAAACAAATAGGATAGAAAAAAGATAATTGGCTAATTGGCTAAGAATAATGGCTAAGAATTCATCCTAGTTCAGTGTGAAAACTGCATATTTCCGTGATTGCTCAGTGGTTCATCCCGCTTGGTTCTGCTGCGTTTATACGATTCAAAACGAACACTTTTTCTCCTAAGACCGAGAAATTTGGTCTAGGCTTGTCTGGACAGAACTACCTGCGATCAACAGTTTTTTTAGTGAAGATTTTAAGAATCTCTAACACATCTATCTCAGGATTTCAAACACCATTAACTCCACCAGTATACAGTGACATTCATTAGGAAGTCAAAGTCTTCACGCAACAAATGAACTCACACATAAATCCAAAGAACTCCGTGGATGAGGGAATTGAGAACACGAACCAGCGAATGAAGTGCTCGGACACACAGTACATGAAGTCGGGATGTATTAATAAATAAATAAAATAAAATTGATGTAACAGTGCAATATTTTCGAATGTCCTCACTGAATCAGTGTATCGCTAAGAATTGTAGAAAAAGATGAAGAAGAGGATGAAGAAGAAGAAGAAGAAGAAGATGATGATGATGATGATGATGATGATGATGATGATGATGATGATGATGATGATGATGATGATGACGTTGATGAAGAAAAAGATGAAGAAGAAATCAAGAAGAAGATCAAGAAGAAGATGATGAAGAAGACGATGAAGAAAAAGAAGAACAAGGAGATGAAAGAGAAGATGAAGAAGGAATCTTGAAAGCATGAACTTCTTTGTTTCTTGTCTTCTAGTTTTTTCTGTGCTATTTATCTCGCTCATATCATTTATCAATATATCAATCATATCATTTATCGTCTCCTTCACAGATACTTGTTAATATGGTTCGTAAGGATTTTTTTGTTATTTCTTTGTTGTAAGAAAGCACCTTTTTTTTAATCTTTCGGTCTTCTTCCGTTCTTCGTAGATTTTTAATTGATGCACTTACTGGTGGCGGACGGCAGCATCCACATATCGACTCGGATGTGTTGGGTCATTTTGTTCTTATGGCATTTGTCTCCAAATATGTCCACCACACATCGCTTTAACTTTTATGATAGATGTCTTCAAAATCTACAGCATCACATTTTCCTACGAACATGTTTTTTTTTTGAATCGTAACATTGAAATGGAATATTTCTAGTGCGAGGAATTCGCCTATAAACTGGAACTTGTTGTCAAAATCGTCAGATAACATCTAAATGAATAATCACTTACATGCATACCTAGAAGTACTTTTGAAGAGTTCAACTGGTGGACCATGCACGTATACGTACTTTTCCACCGTGTTTGCTATTGTGATAAAAACCTTAATTCGCAGAAAGGTCACTCTTTTTTCGAAGTGATACCTATTGAGATTTGTCGTTTGATTTTTCTCTGGTATTCGTCAGTACTAAGGTAAAGTGTTCACGTATCTAGCGCAGTGCTCAGCGGTGCCGTACAGTACACATTCGTTTGCTTCGGTGTAGCGAGCTCCCCAGGCTCGGCAAAAATGGTATGTGTTCCCAGAGTTAACTGAAAAAAACCACATACTTATTACATTGATGTGTTACTACAAGTTATTGTATAGACCACAGATACATACAGTCTACAACGCTACGTGTAGAGCCGAAAGTAAGGCACATTCCATAAATAATAGACAATCCTGAGCGTTTCGTCCTTTATTCCTTAGTATTGACTTAAAGATTGACGGTTTTTGATCAATTGTCTCTAAGCTCTTCCGTTAATGCTATAGCGACCGAACCGGGCACCGCTGGCAAATTCCCCATTGTTCTTAGTTGCGTGCTTCAAAGCTACTTGATGTGCCAATAACCGCTTCCTGTCAGAGTGGCACAAGGAGTATCCCATTTTTCCGTGGAGATCGGAGTAATTTGTTTAGCTAAAGTGGTCTATAAACAGCTTGCATAATTTTTTCTCCGGCAAAGTTTGATGGGTGCGAACAATGACTAGCCGCTTTTGATTAATGTGTGAGAAGACTAAGCTTCAATGTTCTTTTGTTAACGATTTCTCTTTCATAATTTTTAGTCATGCATGCAAATTCTTTTTCCGCTGTTCGTGGCCTTCAAATGGGTTAGCAGTCTTGAGCCATTGATCTCTTAGTTCTCTTCCTTTTAGAATAGCACGGTATTCGAAATATATCACTCACAATAAGTGGAGAAGTATTGCTATAGCGCACAAAAAAGTGATGCTCCACTAGCACATGCACGTTTGAACGTTCTATTCCGTCGTCAGACCATTCATCCCATGTACTTCTTTCTACTACTTAGAAGATATGAGGTGGAGATTTTAAAGAAGGTACCTTCATTTTGTGATTATTTGACAGTATTTAACTCTGTGACACGTAGTCCGACCAATCGGCAATTAACTTGAACGAATAACAAGAAAATTTCTGTCTCTCTCCACGCAACTGCGCAACCAGCTCTGTGCTTATCGAAAACACAGAGACAACAGACACTTTTTGTACGACGCTCTTAATATTCATTGTTTTTTTTTCGAGCAAATAACTATTAATAGATCACTGGGCTCTGCACCTAGTTAGGTTTTCAGATGGGGATGTGGTGGGGTGGCCTCACCTTGAGTGGCTCGCGGTTCTTTATCGCAGTTTGACACTTTTAAACAGAAAGCACTCACGATGTGGAGATGGACTACTGACCCTATTTATTCAGTCTTTTTTAAGAACTAGTTTAAAAATGTTTTCTTGGCCTATAACGGACGATACGCGATACATATTGTATACAATTGTATGTGACCAGGGCTATTTGAACCCTTCAACTACAGGTAGTTATTTTAACTCATAGATTATTTATTAGTGGAGATAGAAGTTATAAGGATCTGCAAATCTCTGCCTAAAAGATAGAAGTACTCTTATGCTGCTAAGATAAGGAATTCACTTGCTTGAATCTTTTGCCCTTCGCTTTCATCACAAAGGGATTTTTCACCGTTTTTTTTGCGTCAAAACTCATATTTCAAATGCCAAAAGTGCTAAGCAACCGAGATTTTCTAGAAGAGTACAGGATGATGTCCGACGATGATTCTTGATGTTTGAAATTACCACGCTTTCGTTAACACTCTTAAAAATATAAACACCGCTTTCAATATCCTATTCGTCTGGGCTCAAAATCGATCTGATTTAAATTCGAAAGGCTTTTCAAAGGAATCATTTATTCACCTAAATGGCAATGTAAGCCCTCTTCTATAGGATTATCAAGTCCTCAACTTCTCAGCTACCCCAGTTATTGAAAATTCGCCGATAGCTTCTAAAAAGCCGGTATCGGGCGTTAAGGGCTAAATAAGACAGGTTTGAACTAAAACTAAAGAATTATTTAATGTCATGACGATTCCTAAGGTCTAATAACGACGAAGATGAGGAAAGGAATGACGGCATACTTGAAGAATGATATGAGTTTAATCGTGTTTTCTTCCAATCAAATATTTTCCAAAAACCAGGAAATTCCCACAAATAGAATAATCCTTTAATTATCCATTTTACAGCTATCACGATCTAGTTGTCCATTCCTATCCTCGTCTTTTTTTCTTTTCCTTATTTTCATCCGAATCATTTCATTTGCATTCATGTCTGTATTTTAACAGGAGTAAATTTTTTTAGAATTAATTCACTTGGGACCAAAAACTTTCCTCTTGGACGAACTTCGTTGATAAATGGATTTAATAGAAAATAGGCTTACTTTTTACTTATTCAAAACCTTTGGCTTAGTTCTCAATAATTTTCGAAAAATTATTAAAATCAAGAAAAATTTAAAATGCAACGAAAACGTGTTTTGCTAGCGTCTTTCAACCATTTTTCATCGAAGAATTTTCTTTCACAAGCCCTTTGTTGTCATCGATAACCATTTCGGGCGCGTGTAGCGTAGAAGTGGTTTGAGATTCTTTGCAATGCACACTGGATTCGTCATCTCTTCGAACCCAAACTCTGGGCTAACCAAGCCTTTTACCAGTTAGGAGGTGGTAAACTGCTAACGGAATTGTCTGGGAGGATAGCAGCATCGACTTGATACGTCGATAGGCCAGTGTAAACCATTGTCTATGCCAAATATGCATTCAATCAACTCTGATAATGCTGGATGAAGTGATACATGGCGCATCCGTTATCGACTGATCAATGCCGAAAGTTTTATTTTTCTAATCCTTCGAAAACCACATCGTTTGTCAGATGTAATGTCAAACGTCATTAAAAATGATCTTCTCGCCTACTTAGCGACATCTTTTGGGGAACTGTTAAGACGGAAGGGGACGCCGTTTACACGGAATATCGAGATCACAAACACCACCATGCCCGCTTCTGCTTTTCTCCACGGCTTCACCTCAACGGTGCTTTCGGTTGTATTTTGTTACCGGAAGCATTTTTTGGTGAATGAAATTGTTGGATTCCCATGTTTGCTCTGAACCTGGCAATAGGACCAACTCTTTACTCTATCTTATCTCTACTATAATTTTCCAGCGCGCGTGTGTAGCGCAGTGGTCGGAGGAACATTGCAACACACACGTGGAAGCGATCCGACGTCTATAGGCCACCAAACCCTCCATCTCTCCGGGATCAAAAGAATGGTAGCAGACTTCTCTAGGGGGATAGCAGCACTGGCTCGATATATCGGTAGGCCACCACTAGTCAGATATGTAAAGGCCAAATAAGCATTCAATCGCCTCCAAATGATGTTTAATGAAGTCGCATGCATGGCGCATCCCTCAGGGATTGGTCAACGCTGAGAGCTTTATCCTTTATCCTTTTACTGTAACTTTCAAAGGTATGCGTAGCCTTAACGTTATGTTAATGCACACTTTAGAAACATCGATCGTATCTCAGCAGAATCGTTGATAAATAAAATGATCACTCACCTTTATCTAACACATTATCAAGAGAATAATACTCAAAGGATCCCATATCAATGAAGTGAGAAACGCAATATAAAACTTCCACAATATCGACGATCAAAACACAGAGGCGCTGCTGCACATCTCAACGCATCGAAAATCAAGTAGGCAGGCCACGCGGTACGTCTAACGATAATCAATGGACAACAGCCCTGTGAAATTTGGCCTCACGGGATGTCACATCACAGGGAGACGATGGACCATACGGTCAAAATTCCTCGCAGAGAACCGAGATAAAAGAAGGTGTTTTTCGATGCTCAGGAGCGTACAGCACTGATTGTCCTACTCGTGAACATGACGTGGCAATTGAAGACATTACTAGAGTCCGCTCGAATCTGATGAGTCGGGCCATCTAAGGTTGAAAGAAGTTCGATATTTTCACTTAGTAGCGTCGCTCATGGTTGCCGATATCGTGTAGGTCACCCTTCTTGAACAATAACATGGTCTTGCTGGTTTTCCATTGAGTACCTTGCATTCAGACAGGTAACGTGTAAACATCCGAGCCAGTGTGTTTACGAGGGCTGGCGGAACGTTCTTCAGGTGTTCCGGTTTTATCCTGTCCGGACCTGGTTCTGTTCGACTTTTCACCGACGAAATGGCATGTCGGATTTCGGAACGGAGAACCGGTGGTACGACATATACATCCTCCTTTATTTCATATGACAGAAGGTGGACGTGGTTATCGAAGAGATCTGAGTAGTATTCGTGAATGATTTTCTCTATAGTCTTTTTGAAAGCTGTTCCGTCATGGCGTCGGCGTGCAATCTCAGATCTCTTCGATATCACCCGGCTCCGCAATTGGCAAAGCTTCGGCGAGCTTTGCCGACGTTTTT